TATGTTATTCTTCTTTGCATCGTCTAGCAGCTGCTGGATTGATTTCTCATGTTCCCTTACAATTTTAAAGCAATTTTTCTTTTCCTAGTCACTAATTGCAATCTTATCTTCTATATCTGAAATTCTATCTTCACATTGGTTCATTCTGCTGCACAGACTTTCAATGGAGTTTTTAATCTCCTGGAAATCTGTTTGCATCTGCTTTATGGATTCCATTTGTTTCCTATGTTGGTATTCCAGCATGTTCCTCAGCCCCTCTATTTTTTTATCTGTGTCCTCTCTAGATTTATTAATCATGTCTTGCACTATAAGCACAATCTTTGCTGTTACCTGAGTAATTATTTCTGATTTCATTTTTCCCAGATCCTCTTTTGTTGCCAGTTCAGAGAGTCCAGTATCAGATTGTTCCATCTCGCTTCCCTTTGGGGTTGCTGTAGGTGATCTGGAAGTCTGTTTTTGAGGCTTGCTTATGTGTCTTCTCATTTCCACAGGGTGGGGAGCAGTGCTTCTGGTGCCCACGTGGCTCACCTTCTCTGCCCTAGGAACGTGGAATGGCGGCAGGGGAGCCTCCTTCTGGGTGCTGGGACTGGCTCAGCTTCTCTGCCCTAGGAACATGGAAATGGCAGTGGGGAGCCTCCCTCTGGGTGCTGGGACTGGCTTACCCTCTCTGCCCCAGGAGTGTGGAATCACTCAGTATATTTCTTGCCTGGCAAGAAAGATTCATATCTCTTAAGAAAGGAACACAAGTCTCACCAAACTGAACACAAAAAGGCTGAGTATATTGTGACCAAGCAGCTTTGTCTGAGAGAGGTAGAAGGTTGGTATTGGTATTTGGCCAACTCTAAATCAGTTCACTGAGTTTCTCTTGAGAGAGGCTATTCCTCCATATTGTGTCATCAACCCTGAGCCCTTGCATCTCAGGTCCAGAACTAACTTTATCATGTCTTGGCATTCTCTGGGTCACAGCAGGCAAAACCATACTCTCCTTTCCTACACTGGCAAAAAAAAAAACAAAGAGAGCAGCATGAGATGGGCAGCATGGCACATACCTGTAATTCCAGCACTCTGAGGGGCTGAGGCAGGAGAATTGCAAGACTGAACACAGCTTGGGCAACTTAATGACTTAGTGAGACCCTGTCTCAAAATAAAAAGATAAAAAAGGGCTGGGGACGTAGCTCAGTACAAAGGCCCTCTGGAGTCAATTTCCAGCACTGAAAAAAGGAACAAACGTGGTTCTGTGTTAAAAAAAAAAATCTGTATTTTATTTATTTAAATATATGCAAAATATACTTAAGACAATTTAATAAACCAATAATAAAGACTGCTTTTTTGGAAGGGCCTAGATAACAATCAAGGGGATTGTTTTATATCTACTGTTTATCCTGGTACATGGGAAATGCATTTGAAATAGTCATTGAATGAATGCATGAAATGCACTTATTGTTTGTGCTCTTGAAAACAATATTTAAGACAATTTGGAGTTCAGTAGTGATGAGCTGTATAAAACATTCATTAACAAGGTTTGACAGTTGTTAGGGAAGTTGATGGCCAAGGGAGCCTATGGGGGGCGGGGGGGCTTTGATTTCTCACGTCATATTTTGTTTTCCAGGATTTCCTCATACCCTGATGTGTTCCCTCAATAATACATCTTTGGTCCCTATGACCTTCAAACTGCACATCCCTGGGGATGGCCTTGGCCCAGAAAGCATCCCAAGTGGTGAGCAGGCTTCAACCAACAGAAGACTGTCTGGGACCAGTGAAGAAACACCCACAGTGAAACCTAAAGAATTCACCATAATTCCCAGCTGGGGCACCATTCGCTCGCAGGGATTTGCAGCTATCAAGGTAACACACAGTACACAGCCCAGCAGCCAAACCTCAAGCAGCCATCAGGTCTCACCTGGGGTTCTCTCTCTGCCCAGAGGCAGTCGAAGGGATGCTTGTCAAGTCACACGAGGAAGTAGGTTTCCATTAATCCAGATGCATGGCCTTTGCTAGAACAAAGTGGCCTTTCTGTCATGTCTCACGAAACCACTGCTCTGTACAGGCAGTACACACATCAGCACCAACAGCAGACAGTGGAAGAACTCACTGATAATTAGATTCTCCTTTCCTTCAGACTTGGATCCTTTATAACAAATAAATATCCAGATTTATGCCAAAGGTGACACTCATCTTTTTCAGATTTGCAATACAAATCTGGGCTTGTCAGTGGATGTGGATGCAGTGTTTCTATCTGTGCTCTGTATTTAGATCCAGAGGAACAGCTGTGAGGAGGCTGCTGGTCCACCCCCACCCCCCCACCCCAGTGCTTGGTCTGAAATCAGGACAGTGCAGTGCCTTGGTTAAGGCCTCACAGTGCCACCAGCAGAACTATTTCACAGTTAACTGAAAGGGATTTTAGCTATCTTCCCTCCCTTTGCTTCTCCACACGGTGAGGTCTAGCAGTAGTGAAGGCTATTAAATTGAAATGATATTATGTTTTCTGGGAAAGAGAAAAAGGAAGACTTCACAGCTAAGCTTGGTAACTTCCTCTTTAGTCACTGCCATCAAATATTTAGTCTAGCTATCATGTTATTCCCCAAATTTGCTTTAAATGTTTCTTAATATCTCACCTCAAATCCACTCATCTTGCGTCTTTTCTGAGCATTTTCAGCTCCTCCATGGGTTCTCTACAAGTCCAATGAAGTTTGATGATATCACGAATCATTACATCTCAGGATTGCTAACTGTGATTTTCCTGATGGAAAATGCTGCTGCAATAGAATGTGTTTTTTTTTTTACTTAATAATGCTCAGCCATCATGTGACCTATCTTTCCTTTTGCTTTTCCCAGATAATGCAGGAAGATTTTGAAAGACTTATTACAGAATCTCTCCATCAGCCTTCTGCCAAAACTGCTTACTCTTTTCCTTCTAACCACAGCTCAGCCACATAAACAAAGAGTCATAATCCTGCTAGGGTTCTCTGCTTTTTGCCAAATCCAACAAGTTTTCTTTCCAAGTCACTGACTTCACCTTCATTGTCTTTTTCCTTTATATTTGAAAAAGCTTTTTCCAAGCTTCAGTTTTCCCTCCTGATCTGCACTTCAGCCAGGTCTGTATGGACTCAAATTTGCATCCAGTGATTCCCTCTGTGACCAAAAAAATTTTAATTAGTACTTGATACATAATTTATAGATAGAAAAGGCTTAACCCATGCCAGAAGTTGTTTTCTACTTCCAAGTATCTCTTCCAGTGCAAATCATTTTAAAGCAATTAAAAGTTTTGTAACAAGGCTCTCAAAGCCTAAATATAAAGTTTCCAAGCAGAAAATAAAAACAATGGGTAAAATATTTTGGTCAAATATTGTCCTCAGATGGACCTTTCTTTGGAGCATCCTGTTTTCTACTCTAATAATGGGGGCCAAGATTTTGGTTAAAAGGATTGATTTCTTAAACCATTTTCTGAAACTCACAGGATTATTTTCATTTATTTTGATGTAAGAGAAATATTATTGTAGTGTTTCTCAGTACATTGAATTTTCATAATTTAGATAGTCCAGAAGTATAAGGAACAATTTCAACTGCTATAATTAAAGATTTTTTTAAATCTATTGTTCATCCTTCATTGTCATCCTCACCACCACCACTACTGCCTTGGGTGGTATGTTAGTTACTTTTCTCTCTTTGCTGAGACAAAATACCGAACATCCAAAGTTAAAAGGGACTGGGGTTATTTGACTTACAGTTCGTAGAAGTTTCAGTCCATAATCAGCCACCTCTAAGGCAGGGATGACAAACAGACATGGCAGAGCAGGAACAACATGGCATGCACAAGGCAGCAAAGTAACAATGGAGGGTTACCAGAATCTTCCTGCCCCTTTTATCTTATTCAGCCTACTTAGGCCAGTAGCACTCACACCCTTAATCCTAGTGCCCTTGAGCGTAGCATTGCATCATGAATCAATTCCAGCTTTACACACTCTAGATCAAGCCACATGAGGCTTTGGGGGGACATCTAGACCCAAATCATAACAGGTGGGTATGTAGCTTCTTTAATAAAACCACCTCAGAAATGAGGAAACCTATTGTACAAAAAAGCCACTCAGTTTCTAACCTGGCCTTTGAAACTACTCAGCATGCCCTGACCCCACAGTGTAACTTGTTCAACTCAAGAATGTAAAATGTCATCCATCCACATAGAGAACTTGGAAACCACACTGGTGGGCATGGCACAGTCCTCCTCCTGGCTACTCTCTCCCCTGTGTAGAGAGAGGGATGGCCTTTTAGAACAGCAACTTCTCACCTTTTTCTTTTCAGGTGACTTTATGCTCCAACACTGTGCAGAAATACGAGTTGGCACTGGTTGTGGATGTGGAGGGCGTGGGAGAAGAGGTGCTGGCTCTCTTAGTCACAGCAAGGTATCACTCACCTGCTTCCTCTCTTCCAGGGTTCCCCTGACCCCAGGACTAGGCTGTGGACCAGTGCACACTGGATTCATTCTGCCTTCCTGGGAAGGGAAACAGGGTCTGATAGTCTAAGGACAAAGCTTTAGAACAACAGGAGTTTTCAAAGCACCTTTGGTGGAGATACAAAGGGTTGTGTGTTTTGCAGCAAAAAACAGTGCTCTCTAATGGGTCTGATGTTCAAAATCTGAATCAGAAAAGATGTTAGCAGGAAGAAGGGATGAGTTGCTGTTTTTTTATTTTCATCTTTCAATATAGAACTGCAGAGCCACACAGTAGGAAGGCACTACTCTGTCCTACCATGGAAGATCTATGTAGCCAGCATGTCCCTGCTCCGGGACACACTTACTATGACTTAAACTGTGGGCTCTGAGTGGCCTCCTAAATGAGGCTTATCTCCTACAATATAAACTTCTCAGAATCATCACCAACTTCTCTATTTTAGAGATGCAGCAAGGGGCTCTGGAGTCAGAATAAAATCCTGCCTCTGCCATTGGCTGACTATGTCTCCCTGACCCACTTACCACCTTCCTGGGGGTAGTAGCAGTGAGGGAGGTGATGTCACCTAGTCATGATGACTTGACCCTAAATAAAATCATGGGGCCACTCTCTTCCCAAAGCAAATAGTGTCAAGAACTAGGACTTGAAAGTGTGGGAATGAAAATGCTGGGTAAAGGAAAAAGATAAAATGTTGTAGGAAAATCAATCATGCTAACCCGTCAGTCTCTAGAATTTAAATCTCTCATGAATCTCAGGAAGATAAAAAAGGTGCAGATGGGATGGTCAGTGGGGAGAAGATAACTGGCACCATTTCATATGTCATGTGTGTAACTGACAACAAATAACAACCCTAAAGAACTCACTGTGATGCCTCAATCTACTCAGTATTCCTTCAAAACCTAAATTACTTCTGTTGATTAAAATCATCAAAAATTCTGATCGTGGACTTTCTATATCCAAGTTTGCCTTATAGACTAGTCTTCCAAATCTTTCCTATGAAGCTTTATTCTGATATTTTCCAATCCCTTGGCCCTGCAGCTATCAACAAGAAATAATGAATTAAAAAGTCATGACAATGATAACTCAATACGTATCAGTTATAACCATCAATGTTAATGGTCTCAATTCACCAATCAAAAGAAATAGACTGGCAGAATGGGTCAAGAAG